TCTCGATTCCATTGTTGATTAAAAAAATGTTTACTATCTGCAGTCTGTCACAGGGTAGGCACTGTGATGTGACCTTTCTATCCTGCGACATCTAATTCCTGGGATTTTGTTTTGCAGCGACTGGATTGTCATGTTCATTGTAAATGGGCAACGCAAAGTTGATAGCTGCTGACACAAATTCACAACAGAAGGAACGACTGAGTAGCAGAATCCTACCCCAATACTTCGCACTCATGCCATGAAATAGCATTCTGACGCCGAGGATCAATATCACACGGCGTCATTACATGCGTGGACATTAATCTGCCTCGTTGTAACTTTCAGCATTTTCCAACCTGAAGTCTTACTGTCACTCAGTCTCAATTATCCTTGCATTCTACTATCTCACTGTGCCATGTTAAACTATGTGAATCAATGGCTGACACTATCCCTTTAGGCTTAAGCTGATAGCATTACTGTACTGAGTCTTAGTAACTCAAAGAAACATTTCATTTGTAACCACTGATATCACGACGTTCCTATGCAACCTGGAGTAACCTTAGAAAACCCCAATAACCTCTTCCCAGTGTCCAAGTTTTCTCAAACCTTACAAGTGAACGGTGAAGACGAGGATCAGAATTTGACAAGACCGTCTTGATGGGATTCAACATTTCAATTCGCTAATCATCTAAAGCACCTTATGAATATCATCCTCCTCTCTCGTTCTTTCAAACATTACAATGAGCCCAATCTTCCAAAATTAAACTTTCAATAATCTTCTATCGATCTCATGCTGCTTTGTTTTATGTCATCCGCCCTTTCCCACATCAATTTAAGTAAACATAATTCTCCATTAGCTTGACTTTTGAAAGCTGGCGTTTATTTAATCTCTTAACAACTTCCCTCATCGTAAAGTTTCATTGTTAAATTCCTTCCTCCTGGTTGTGGACTTCCTCGGTTACCATATACAAGTTGTTTATACTCAGAATCGTCTTAGATCGGCAGCGAAATGCTTCTTTGTTGCGAGCAGTCCCACCTCGGAAATAAAAACACACGAAAACAGCAGCTAAATCAAATAGGTTTTTAAAAGAAACAAGAATTATGATAGCACCTTGCGCGACAGTTCTTGGTCAAACCGTGGAGAACATTGGTCGCAGATCGAATCTGCACAAGCATCTGGAAGGAAAATACAGAAGGAACCCGAATGAAAAAAAAGTCGGTGCTGACGTTTACAGAACAATTCTCTGCATATAAATGAAATAGTTATGATAATATCCCTGCATATATCGGTATAGGGCAAGCTATTTAAATCACAGCCAGAATATCATTTTATCGCCTTCTGAAGAAGGGTCGCTCGACTCGAAACTTAACTCTGCTCACTCTCCACAGATGCTCCCTGAACTTCTGGAGTTTTCTCCAGAAATTTCTGTTTTCTTTTCCGGATTTCCAGCATCTGCAGTTCTTTCGGTTATTATCACTTTAAGGTGTTACTGTCCAAATTGAGGTATTATTTTGTAAGTCAGATCCCAGAATTAAATATAGCTTGATAGATCATTACAGTCTGTGGTGAGTTTGTGCGGGGGAATGTGTTGTGCGTGTGATATATGTGTGGTTTGGTGCGTGTGTGAGATGTGTGTGGTATGGTGTGTTGTGCGTGTGTGGCGCATGTGTGTTGTGTGTTTGCGTGTTTTGTGTATGGGTGTGTGTGGTGTGTACAAAGTCATAGAGTCATACAGCATGGAAACAGACCCTTTACGTCCAACCAGTCAACACCACCCACGTTCCCAAATTGCATTAGTTCCACGTGCCTGCATTTGACCCATATCCCTCCAAACCTTTCTGGGTCATGAACTTATCCAAATGTCTTTCAAAAAGACCCTTGTCATTCACCTTATTCATGCCTCTCATGATTTTATTAACACCAATAAGGTCGCCCCCGACCCCTAAGCTCCAGTGAAAAAAGTCCCAGATTTTCCAGGCTATTTTTGTATCTCAAGTGTGTCTGTGTGTCTAGTCAGCGAAAGTTAGTCATTCACACCATTTTCTTTAGCAACTGGAACAAATGTTTATTATACAAAATAAGGGGGTGGGGAGGGGGTTGGGGGGGGGGGGGGGTGGGGAAGAAAGCTCCGTAAAGATAGAAGGCAGTTGTATGATTTTATAACACACAGCAAAATAAAAATTTCAACCTGTTTTTTGATGACAGACTCAAGTGCACAGAAAGACACTCCGATTTCAACTTATTAGTTTGTTTTTTACTTAATTGATCCTTTACAATGCCCTTGCCATGGACTGTAGACCATAGAAACAATTTAACGAGTTCCAATAAAAGAAAAACCTTTTACAAATCTGAGAGCTGGAACTTTCTCAGTTCTGATAACCTGCTGATTTCTAATCAAACTCTCCTCCTGTTGGAGCTTTACAAAATAAATCCTTCTGATAAGTTAACTGGGACACAAAAACTTACCTGTTTCTGAACTCAGCTCTGGTCTTTCCTGTACTGATTTTAAAAAAATCAACTTGCTTGATGCTGTGTTTTTCTGAATCGAAAACAAGGGTAATGATTTGATCTGTTCACTTCACTTGTCATAACCCTATAGTATAAACATCTTACTGCAATGACACTAGAGAGTGCTTACTGAAAAATGTTGGATTTAGGTTATTGTTCCAGAAGGACTTGCTGACCTTCAAAAAAAATCTTCACAGACAAGTCCAAATCTGAAAACAAGTTAATATCTACCAAGTACGCAGTGTCATTAAATGTGTCAATTGTAGAGCGGAGACTAGATTTGAACAAAGCAAATTACATAGCCTAAGAAAATCAAAATTGTGAAAAGTATGCTGGAGTGCTATAATGTACAGACTTGAACGTAATAGAGTAGGCAAAACTTTCACAAAGGATAGGTAAGACTGTACTGGAAGATTGCAGAACAATCTGTCCTAGATGACAAATGATGGGTTAGATCCCACTAAAGCAAAATAATAATAAAACAAAATACTGTAGATACCAGTGATCTGAAATTTAAAAAAAAACAGGAAGTGCTAGAGAAACTTAGCAGCTGGGGCTGCATCTGTGGAGAGAGAAATTTAGTTAGCATTTGGAGTCGAATTGAAAGTTTCTTCGGAACGTGAGAATCGTGCACTTCCCTCCACTGCAACAAATAAACCTGTTGGACTGTAACCTGGTGTCGTGTGACTTCTGACTTTATCCAACCAGGTCCAACACCGGCACCTCCACAGCATGGACTGGAAACAATTTGTCCTTCAACATGTTGCATGACCTATTGTGTCTCTGCAGAACTTTCTGTTTCTACAAAACCATACCCGGATTCAGTTAGTTGAATTGTAATATAGTTGCTTCTACGTACGGTAAAAAAAAGTTACCATTTAAGAAGGAAGAAATAGGAGTGCGGTACCGTAATTGGCCCTATCAATAGATCTCCACTAGACAATAAGGCGCTCCAATTGCCTGAATCTTAATTCCAATTGCAGCAAGAACCCGTATTAAGGCACACCTGGAATATTGTGTGCCGTTTTTGTCTCCTTATCTGAGGAAGGACACTCTTGCTATAGAGGCAGCGCAGCGAAGCTTTACCAAAATGAGACCAGGGGTGACTAAATTGACGTATGAAGAGAAATTGAGTGGGTTAGGACAGTAATCGCTGGAGTTTAGAAGAATGAGTGGGGAATCTCAAAGAAACGCGTAAAATTATAACAGGTTAGATGCAGGCACGATGTTCCCAATGGTGGGGAGCCCAGAACTAGGGGCCTAAGGATAAGGGATTTAAGGATAAGGAATAAACTTTTTAGAACTGAGATGAGGAAAAAATTCTTCACACAGAGACTTGTGTGTAATTCACTGCCAAACAAAGCGTTTGAGGCCAAAACATTGTGTTTTCAGGAAGACGGTAGGTACAGTTCTTGCGGCTGAAGGAATATGAGGCGGGAGGCGATTTGGAATTAGAATATTGAGATCTATGATTAGCCGTGATCATATTGAATGGGGAGCAGGCACAAAAGTTCGAATGAACTACTGCTGCTCCTATCTTCTTTGTTTCTATGTTTCTTAATTCCACCTACACATGACGGGGTAAGAAGAGGGGTAAATCTTGTTCTGTCTTGAAGATAGTAGGAACTGCCGATGCTGGAGTCTGAGATAACAATCTGAAGAAGGGTCCAAACCCGAAACGTCAGCTTTCCTGCTCCTCTGATCCTGCTTGGCCTGCTGTGTTCATCTAGCTCTACACCTTGATATCTCTGCCCTAAAGTTGCAGTTTTAGACTGATTCTACAGTCCGGGAACTGGAAAGCGAATTGCAAAGCAAGTTACTCACCGATCCGCCGTTTAAAGATGTAAAGGCAGCAACACGCTAGTACGATGCCGATTGCAAAACCCAGAGCGATGCTTATCGAAACTTCATTCCTAACCAGCAAGTCTCTGAAGTCACTTCCTACAGAGAATGGTGATTAATGAAAACCTCCAAAGTAGGAATTATTTCAATGCCATAAAAGGGCAAATTCGCATACCGCAAAATACATCTTTGAAAAATAACAACGTATGATGGGTTGTAGCAAAGTTGAAACCGTGGAAATAAAGTGACAGTCAAAGACTGGGTATGATAGCAGCTAAATGATACAAAGCACGATTGTTCTTGATTGATTTTGAGTTCGGACTTGGCGGGTGGGGTAGCTGGGTGGGAGTGAAGATTAAAAAAAAAACGTTTTCCTGTACTGGAACCTATGGAAGTTAAAGGTTTAGAGTGGGAGCTAGAGAGACCTGGGGATGCTTTGTTAACAAATCCTTCAAGGTGACTGTCTGTGCGGAGTTTGCACGTTCTCCCCGTGTCTGCGTGGGTTTCCTCCGGGTGCTCCGGTTTCCTCCCACAGCTCAAAAATGTACAGGTTAGGTGAATTGGTCCCATAGTGTCCAGGGATGTTCAGGCGAGGTAGATTAGCCATGGGAAATGCAGGGTTGGGGATGGGTTTCGGTGTGATGGCGTTCGGAGCGTAGGTGTGGACTCGATGGGCCTAATGGCCTGCTTCCACACTGTAGCGATTCTATGATACAGGCGCGTGTAAAATGAAGGTACTTTCAGCTTAATTTTAAGGTGATTATCAAAAGATCGAGAGGTGAAATCAGGAAAATAAACTTCTATCCGCCTTCCCATCTCTCCCTATTTATTTCAGAACCCCCTTCCCCTCCCCCTTTTCAGATGAAGGGTCTAGGCCCGAAACGTCAGCCTCTCTGCTCCTATGATGCTGCTTGGCCTGCTGTGTTCATCCAGCCCTGCACCTTGTTGTCTCGGATTCACCAGCATCTGCAGTTCCTACTATCTCCGTTACCATATATATTCGACTTCACGTTGCTGGTTAGTGGAACATGTCACATTTTCCTGAGCTTGCAGAGTTTAATGTGCGAGTAATCCATCGATACATTTTATCCTTACAAGCGGTAAGAATTCAGTTATCAATAATACCACCGTTCTTAGTTCTTTTTTTGTTTAACCTCTGTCTCTATATGCAGCGTTGGTGCAACATTAGAGGATGCTGAAGCGCCCGCATTTACTACAACAGGCTGTGGGTTCAGCTCAGAATTCCTGCAGGTTGGAATATTTAATCGCCGTTTATTGAAACAAGCCAACATGTCCAGAGAAGGTGACTACAAATATTGTTTTCTCTTGTCCGAAGGTGAAATGCACCCATAAGTAATGTCTAATATAACTCAGTTTCTCAATTTGTTCTGTTGTTGTTCAGTAACCGATTGAAACCTTCAAAGAAAAGCGAAGGTTGTTTCCAACTTTCCACATTGGTAAGTTTGTATTAAATTAGAATGCGGCAGATGAAATAGGCTACTGTGAAAAATGAATGAACTGACAGAATCTGTTTGTTCACATTTTGTGCAGTATTAGATTCTGATGTCAATTAGATTGACTGTATATTGTAGATGCACTTGATTAGTGGAGGCAATTATCCTTGTGTTTGAAATACTTTCACTCACTATTGTAGAACAATCTATAGTGGTGACGCAAACCCAGAGAGAGGGAGACTCCGGACAGCGCAGCCAGATATCCCCGTACAATTCAACACTGCAAAAGACAACTGTTGGCAATGCAAATGAAGACTTCCACGGGGTTACAGGTATAGTGTCATAGATATGTAAAGCACAGGATATGGCCCCTCGTCTCATCGCGTCCGTGCCGGTCAAAAACAGCCACCTAACTATTCTAGATACATCTTCCTGCACTTACCTATAGTCTTGTATGCCTTGGCATCGCAAGTGCACATCTAAATACTACTTGAACGTTATGAGGGTTCCTGTCTCCATCACTCTTATAGGTAGTGCATTCCAGATTCCTACTACGCATAGATGAAAAAGCTTTTCCTCCCATCTACCTCTAAACCTCCTGCCCCTTACTTTAAATCTATGCGCCTCCTCCCCGTCTTGAACCCTCCATCAAGGCTTTTTTCCCTCTGTATGCCCCTCATAATTGTGTACGTCTCAATCATCTCCCTTCTCAATCTCCTCTGCTCTAAGGAAAGCAGCCCAGTCTGTCCAATCTCTCTGCAAAGCTGACCCTCCAGTTCAGGTATCATTTTGGTAAATCTCCTCTGCACCCTCTCCAGTGCAATCACATCCCTCCTATAAGGGATGCATTGAGATTAGCGTGACATCTTTATCGCTCCTTTTATTACACCCAGCATAGTGTTTTAAATCCATTGTTTCCAATTTGGGGATTAATATTTTACGAAGGTATCAAGAATTCGGCCAGAGTGTTGTTAAAGGATGTTTAAATTATTTAACAACAGCACCCATTGCATTGTCTTCATTAAACTTCTCTGCTAATTCTTCAAAACATTGACTTCGTTTTCTCAATTTTGGTTTGGCTGTCCCAAATCCATGTTAGCTATCCGCAATTCACTCAAACTTCTCTAGCTTCCGGGTCACTAATAGCCCTGTTAGCTTTCTTAAACCTTGCCTCCTGCCGATTCTGAACTGCGAGGAATGTTTTCGTTTACTAAACGAATAGCTGTCAATTTGAAGAAGCTCTTTGAAAAGCTGCTGGGAGAGAGTTCGAAATAGGCCTTGCTTGTAGTTTGAGCAGAGAAAAAAACAACTCAGGTGCTAACCACTGAACCGCCCTGGTACTCGCCTCCTGGTACTCCAATTTCTGTCTGCTATCTACGAACAGTAGTCAGTAGTATGATGGGATATGCTTCACTTGCTTAGATGTGTTCAACTCCAACACCACACCAAAACCTCCATAATGTACTCATAACCCATTGATTAAATTTACAATTCATTTCCTTTCCGACATAGGCACACATAATGCTCAGGATCTACATATGTACGAGGGTAACTTCTCAAGTCCCCTTTGAGAGCCTCTCTCCTTAATCACCTCAAACAACAAGGGCAGTCAGCTTATGGGAAATTTGCCAAAGGCAAGTCATATATTATTGTGAGTTTAAATCATGTCGTTGGCCCTTTGCTGTTGCTGGATCAAAACCTTGGAACTTATACCTTACCGGCAATGTGCATGATGTACTGCAGCATTCCAAGAGTGCAGCTCAACACCAAATCAACAAAGAATTTCAGGTGGCTAATAAATGTTGGCCTCACCAGCGATACCCAAATCACGAAAGTGATTTTTAAAATATAAATATAAGTGAGGTGATTTTGGCCAAAAGAACTGCGGATGCCGTAACTCAGGAACAAAAACAAAATGGTTCTGAGGAAGGGTCACTGGGCCTGAAACATTAACTCTGATTTTCTCTTCATAGATGCTGCCAAACCTATCATAGAACCCCTACACTGTGGAAACAGGCCCTTTGGCCCAACAAGTCCACACTGTCCCTTGGAGCATCCCACCCAGACCCATCCCCCTATAACCCACACAGCCCTGAACACTACGGGCAATTTAGCATGGCCAATCCACCTAACCTACACATCTTTGGATTGTGGAAGGAAACTGGAGCAAACCCACACAGACATGGGGAGAATGTGCAAACTCCACGTAGACAGTTGCCCAAGGGTGGAACCGAGCCCAGGTCCCTGGTGCTGTGAGGCTGCAGTGCTAACCACTGAGCCACTGTGCTGCCCCACTGTACCCACTGAGCTTTTCCAGCTACTTCTGTTTCTGTTGCTTTCAGCCAGTTGTGTGTTTGCCAGATCTTTGAGAAGTGATCCATTTTGTTCCACTCCCCTGCCGTTTCTCCTAAAACCTGCACCTTTCCCTCTTCCAGTTCCCCATTGAGAGTTGCCAATGTACTGACTTCCACCATCTTTGTGGTGCCTCAACGCAACTTCATATGGCACAGGGCCAGTGTCCATTCCATTGGTCCAGAAGCTCAGGTCATGTCCCACTCTGGATCTTTTCTGGCTGTGGCAAGTGTGTTCATAGCACAGTCCATCAGGGAGATAGTGAATCATTCTATTGGCCTAATGGCAGACTGTAAGAGCAGGAGAGTGTCCTGGTCCACTAGTGTGCAGAACATCTTAGGGTGATTGGCACAGCAGCTCATGGCTCATGCGATGCGTGCTGCTGCATCCACATGGCTTCATCGTTATCTCTCCAGCGGGGTAATTTGTTTTTGTTTTAGTTTCTGTGGACACTCCTTGCGATGTCCTCCAGCCGGAGGCCAGGGTCCGGTGTATCTCTGCTCTTGTTCCATCTCGGGTGGCGGCATCAGAACCAGGACTCCATCGGTCGACTCGGAGCCAGGACCCAATGCCCAGCGTCGAAGGAGGTGTGGCACCCGTGCAGCGTGTCCATCTCCAGATGCAGAAGCGCCCGGCATCGCTGGCAGTAGGAATGGAGCACGTTGCCGGGGACCCTGGAGACAGTATCACAGGTTGATGTCTATGGAGAGGGAAAGGTGAACTTTTGAAGCTGTTTCAGTTTCAATAATATCAACTTAATATTAATTTATTCAGTATTTTACCAATTGTACAATTTATTCAGTAACTTATTCTGTAATCCAAGAAGGTGCCAAAACATGGCGACATTTTTACTGTACCTATGCATGACTGACAAATAAATATGTAAATAAATACGTAAATTATAAATAAGTAAAAAAAGCGAATGATAATCCACTTCAGTACCTTGCACATTAGACTGCACCAATGAGTTGAAGTCTATGGCTTATCACTGATGCCAGAGAAAGACAGTCAATAGTTACACTCCTGCTCTTTCAGTCTAATAAAGGACCTCACCTGGTTTACATCCCATTTATCGCCCATGGTTTTCTCTTTGTTCACTTCCTGATCTTCTTTCAGACACTAACCTGGTCAAAATCCTACAATTCCCTCCCTAATAGCATCATGCCCCAACAGCAAATGGACTGCAGGGGTTCAATAATACAGCTCAACCCCACCCTGTCCAAAACAACCATAGCCTACCAGTAACCCCCAGACCACAAGTACCTTTTATTTTTAGTAGCTTAGCCATTCCTTTTCTTGGCCAGACATGTGGATCTGTAAACTGTAAAATGAATCTACATTTTATTTCTGAAGAAGGGTCCCGACCCGAAACATCACCTTCCCTGCTCCTCTAATGCTGCCTGGCCTGCTGTGTTGCTCCAGCTCCACACTGTATTATCTACATTTTATTTTCCCAAATTGGGTTTATCATTAATACAAAGAGAGAATAAAAGTGATGAAGCTAAACATAAAAGTTACATAAACAATTCCATGTCAGCCCAACAGCCTCCAATCGTCCAATAGTTTCTAAGGACAATACAATTCTGTTTTAGAGATAGCAAGAACTGCAGATGCTGGAGTCAGAGATAACACAGTGTGGAGCTGGAGGAACACAGCAAGCCAGGCAGCATCAGAGGAGCAGGAAAGTTGACATTTCGGGTCGGGACCCTTCTTCAGAAATGGGGACGGAGAAGGGAGCTGGGAAATAATTAGAGGTAGGGAGTGGTGGGGATTGGTTAAGGAGATGGGAGGAGCAGATAGGTGGGAGAGAAGATGGAAGGTTGTGTCAGATCAAGGAGGCAGGGACAGGAGGGAGCGTTAGACATGGGATGAGGCTAGTTAAAAATGAATTAAAAAAGCAGTAGTAAATTATGAAAGAAAGCAAGTGCTAAATAAAGAATGGATAACAAAAGATTATATATAAGGCAAGAGAGTAGCTGAAGTGAATATTGACCCCTTACAGTATGAGACTGGAGAATTAACAGAGGGCCAAATGGAAATTGCAGAGATACGAAAGCTTGTGTGATTTCAAATAAACCTGTTGTACTATAACCTGGTGTTGTGTGCTTTTTGACGTTATCCAGCCCAGTCCAACATCGGCACCTTCACATCACAGGTAATGCAATGACCTTAGAAAGGGAAGAACTGAGAACAATCATCATCATCACAAAGAAAAAGCACTGAACAAATTATTAGAATTGAAAACAGATAAGTCCTCCAGTGTGTAATTGTTCACACCCTAGGGCTTTAAAGGAAGTGGCAACAGAGATAGTGGTTTCATTGATTGTGATATTCCAAAATTTCCTGAATGTGTGAAAGGTTCCAGTGGTTGGCAAAATGTTAAGATAATACCCTTATTCAAAAAGTATTATAAACCATCAAAAGGCACCACTACTAGTTATGATAACACTGTCCCTGAGGTCCTAAAACACATTAGGCCAGATTCTGTTTCTGTTTGGCCCAAATCCTTACAATGGTGATATGTTAGGGAGTGCTGCCAAAATCCTAGGACACACATCTAAAGGCATCAATCACCAAAAACAGATGAAGACCCAATATTCCTGTCAGGTTACCAATCTGTAAACTTGCGATCAGTACCTTCCAAATCCATGAGAACTACTAATCAGAAGGACAAGGGCAGTAGATACATGGGGAACACCACCACCTGCAAGTTCTCCCTCCAAGTTTGCAGCTGATGTCCAAATAGTTGGTGTAGTGGACAGTGAGGAAGGTTATCTGAGAGTACAATGAGACCTTGATCAGATGGACCAATAGGTCAGGTAGTAGCAGATGGGGTTTAATTTAGATAAATGTGAGGTGCTGCATTTTGGTAAGGCAAATCAGGGCAGGACTTACACAGTTAATGGTGGGGCCCTGAGGAGTATTGTTGAACAAAGAGGCCTTGGGATGCTGGTTCATTTTTCCATGAAAGTGGATTCACAGGGAGAGAGGATAGTGAGGAAGGTGTTTGGTATTCTCACCTTCACTAGTCAGTGTATTGGGTATAAGAGTTGGGACATCATGTTGTGGCTGTACAGAACATGGTGAGGCCAATTTAAAACACGGAAACAGAGGGATATGGTCCACATGCTGGCAAATGGGATTAGATCAGTTTAAGGTAACTGATCGGCATGGAAGAGTTGGACTGTAGGGTCTGCTTCCATGTTTTATGACTCTATGACCTGTCGCAGAAGATCTGGCAGAAGAAAGCATTCACTAATAACCATTTACTCATTGTAGACACAACTGCTCATTCACCCAGTTTGCATCTCCCACAGCGACTGTCGAATCTTTGAGACTATTTCCACACTGGCCTAGGCCTCTGTGAGGTCACTGAAAGTTAGCTGGATCACCAAGGCTGTTGTGGTTGTAGAATGTCATCTGAGCATTGACAAGGTTATTGTTTAGCTCGCAACTTTGCACATGCAAAACAATGAATACCGAGGAATTTGAGTTCACCCTCAAAGTTTTATAACTTCGTAATGTTTGTTTGCAGCGGCAGATTTGAAACGCATCAGGAAATTTTACATCGCTCTTTATCAATATTGATTCTGGAATTCATCTCTGAGAATTTCACCTAAATAACAGAAATGCTATGCTACTGTCTGTTATCGGGCATCTTACTGGAGTCACAAGGAAAACAAAGCTGCAATGGGCTTCAGGAGGAGTGGGAGGCAGAATAATGCCAGACAGAGCAGCAGTAACAGAGAAGAATGGTTGTGACATGAGGGTGAGATTAATACAATTCCTGCAGGAGTCACTTTGTGGTTGGATATTATGGCTAAGAGGATGTGCTGGGTTCACTCCTCATGCCCCAACTATTTACGATCTATATAAATGACTTGATGAAAGGATAGAAGATACGAAAGCCAAATTGGCAGATGACACTAAAATAGTTGGGAAATTATGTTACAATAACAATGTAAGAAATCTTCAAATGGATGTAGATAATTTAGGTGAATGGGCCACAATTTGGCAGATAGTGTTTAATGTTGCTAAGTGTTACGTTATCCATTTTAGTCAAAACAATAGAAAACAATAGTGCCTCAGTGTAGAGAGATCTAGGTGTCCTCATGCAGATGAATGGAGGAGACAGATTTTTAATTAGTAACATGCTGAAAGGTCATGGATTGGTGCCAGGAAACTGGATTTGGGGCCTAGATGAGATCAGCTATGATCTTATTGAATGGCGAAGCAATCTCAAGGAGCTGAAATGCCTACACCTGCTCTTAGTTCTTATGTTCACACATATGCCAGGCGATGACCATCTCCACCAAGAGACAATCTAACTGTCACCAGTTGATATTAAATGTCATTACCATCAATAAATCCCCCTTATCAAATTATGGGCACAATAAAGGAACACATATCCTTGAATTTAAGCTAATTGAACATTCCAGCAGTAGATTTAAAGAATTAAATTTATTAATACAGTTAAATTATTAAGTTACAAATTCAAATTAATTAAATTAAGAAATAAAATGATTAGTACAAATACAAATTGGGTAGCATGGTGGCTCAGTGCTTAGCACTGCTGCCTCACATCACTGCGGACCCAGGTTCAGTTCAGCCTCGGGTGACTGTCTGTGTGGAGTTTGCACATTCTCTCCGCGTCTGTGTGATTTTCCTTTGGGTATTTCAGTTTCCTCCCACAGCCCAAAGATATGCAGGTTAGGTGGTTTGGCCATGCTAAATTGTCCTGTGATGTACAGATTAGGTGGATTAGCCAATGTAACTGGGGGCGGGTCTGAATGGGATGCTTTGCAGAGGGTCAGTGCAGACTCGATGGGCCAAACAACCTCCTTCTGCAAAGTAGTCATTGTAGGAAGTCACTAAATTATGCTGAAGATGTTTTCCTTGATTTCAATTAATGTTAATGCATAACTTATACAAAAAAATAATTTCTGTATTCCCGGTATTGATTCCAGTAACTTCTCAAGCTTGAAGGCTCACTGGATTTGAAACATTAATTCTGTTTTCTCTCTAGAGATGCTGCCAGACCTGCCGTGTTTCTGCAGCACCTTTTGTATTTGTTTCAGATTTCCAGCATCCTCAGTTTTTTGCGCTTATTTATGGATACCAAGAGTGTGTTTTCTCTTGTACTGAAGACTGAAACTAGAGTGCACAGTTTAAAAATAAGAGATCTCCCATTTAAGACAGAGATATGGAGATTTTTTTCCCATCACATAGTTGTTAGGTAATAGAGGGTGAGTCTTTAATTTTATGTAAGGCTGAGTAAGACAGGAAAGTGGGGTATTTAATTCATTCATGAGATGTAGCCACCATGGTGGGGCCAGTATTTATTGCCTGTATTTAGTTTCCCTTTAGAATGTAGTGGTGAGCTGCCTTTTTGAACTGCTGTAGTCCATTTGGTTTAGGTAACCCACACTGATGTTAGGGAGGTAGTTCCAAGATTTTGAGCCAGTGACAGTGAAGGAATGGCAATGAATAATGAGTGGTTTGCAGGGAACTTGCAGGGGGTGGTGTCCTTCTACTAGGAATTCATCTCTTTCCAATTAGCCGGGGGGAGCAAAGGCATGGTTGCTAAATCTGCTGATTATGCAAGGATAAGTAGAAGAGTAACAAAGACAGGAGCTGCTGGAAAAGCTCAGCAGGTCTGACAGCATCTGTGAAGAAATAATCAGAGTTACTATTTTGGGTCCGGTGACCCTTCCTCAGGCCAGGCACGCCCATCTCAAGTAGAAGAGTATGTTGTGAAGATAACATATGGAGTTTGTAGACAGATGTAGATAATTCAAGTGAGCGGACATAAATCTGGCAGATGGTCACATAATGTGGGAAAATCTGGAATTTAGTATTAAAAATGAAAATGCAAGTACTGTTTAAATGCAGAATAACGGCAGCATTCCGAGGACTTAGGTGTTCTAGTGCATGAGACAAAAAAGTTGATATGCCTTGTGCTAGTTTGGGTCGATATATTTATGTAATGATTTAAATGCATTGGAAACAGTTCAGGGAAGACTTACCAGATTGACACCTGGTATGATTGGGTTGACTTATGTGGAATGAATTAAACAGACCAGTCTTGTTTCCACTGGAGTTTCAAAATGAGAGGAGATTTGATTTAAGTGTCTAAGATCCTAATTGGTCTTGAAGAGTTGAATGTGGAAAGGATGGGTGAGCAGAGTATACTGGTCAAAAATTAGGAGTCGGCCTTTTTGGACAGAGATGAGGAAAATTTTGTTTCTCTTCGAGGGTTGTGTGACTTTGGAACTCTCTGCCTCATAAGGTAGTGGAGGCAGTATCATTTTTTACTATTTTTAAAGGTGGATTTAAATAAATTCTTCTTAAACAAGAGA